ACGGTAGGAACAGGTAGCACTAAAGAAGTACCTATAATATCTGACATCGTGTTCAAGGATTATAAGTGTTATTAGGGATTGGTTTAATAATATTAATATATTTAGTTTATATTTAAAGTGTCCTTGAAGCAAAAATTAAAATGTTTGAAGGTAAAACAAAAATTTTCCTTAAGTTGAATTGTCTTTAACTCGAACACAACTGGTCGCATTTGCGAGGTTTGAGTTAGGGAAGTTTAACAAGAGTCAGTTTATTGTAAATTCTTAAAAGGTTGAACAATTTTGACTGATTACTTAGGTAAACACACATGGTAGATATGCGTTTCCTATATGAATTTACTTAATAAAAATTGCTAACAAAATTGGTAGGTACAATTTATATTAATTTCTGGAACACACCAAACTTCTTTTACCAATACTTAAATTCCTTGCCTCAGCTAAGGTAAAAAATATTGATGAAAGCGATCTCGTTGACATCGTTATCCATTTTTTTTTGTTAAACAAAAAATTCTTAGGAGTTTCCAGATCTTATTTCGTTGCCTAACGATCGAACTAAATCGAATTCTTGTTCGAATTTCGGCAAAAAGTACATACAGTTAACTCTACCGTTAAATTAGATAGACAAAGGGTCATTTAATAGAAAATTCAAACGATCTGGTGGAACAGTAACTCTAAAAACCGTGGTTACAAAAACTACCCTACGACATTAATCTGAGGTAGAACCCAGTTACACGTTGGGGAACGTACCCATACTATGTGACCCGTAAGGGTGACGGGTATTCAAAAATACCACGCTTGGCCACAAGTTTTCGTCACATAGTCAATATCCTCTAGGGAAATTTCGCGCTTTTTCGAGTTATATTCAAAACTTTTCATTTGCAAAAAATAATTTGTGAAAACTAGAGGGAGAGGAGGTCTTGACACATACTACCGAAAGGGGAGCGTGGTAAAAAATTGTAAAAAAATGGGTCACGTAGTGTGGTACATTCCCTTAACTAGTCTTGACGGTTGTATCTAATTTACTTAATTATCTTATCATCATATCACATCATAGGGCAGTGGTTGTGAAACAAAACCAATTTAAATCTTTAAAGTATTACAATCATTTTAAATAAACAAACTTAAAGCTAAAAGAGTTTAAATAAGTAACCAA